GTCGATTTTTATCGATTTTATCGATTCGTTGTTGCAGCCCTATTTATATTAATTGATTATTAAAGAAAGTAATTGATAGGTTAATTATTTAGATTCATTGATAAGTAGATCAAGTAATTTATAGGTTAAGTGTTTAGATTAATTGATTAGTAGGTAAAGTAATTGATAGGTTAATTGTTTAGATTAATTGATTAGTAGATCAAGTAATTGATAGGTTAATTGTTTAAACTAATTGATTAGTAGATAAAGTAATTGATAGGTTAATTGTTTAGATGAATTGATTAGTAGATAAAGCAAATTATAGGTTAATTGTTTAAAATAATTGATTAGTAGATAAAGCAATTGATAGGTTAATTGATTACTAAAATATTTGTTTATTTTCCTTCTTCCTCAGTTGTTTGTTGTTTCAAAAATCAAAGCTAGCTGTCCATGTCATGTGACATTCATCACATGATTCGTCCGTAATCAATACTATTTCGCGCTTATATTCCAAAAATGTTAAAGAAAGCAAAAGTTTGTAGCACTAATGTTTGCTCCAGTAGATTCAACGGTACTATCCGAATCCATAATGCAATAAGTAGTAGGTAGTAATAGCCATTTTACTTATGTTTTTCATTTTTTCTCTTTTTTTCTCTTTTTATATTTTTGTTTGACTCTGTCACCGACACATTCTGTTCCTCTTCTACATTACATGCCATGTTTTCTGAGTAAAAAAAAAAAGTTAAATGCAAAAAGAGCAAAAAAAGTCAAATACATTGTCCAACACTGTAATGTATAAAGATCATACGCTGGATCGAAACTGAATTATTTTAAAAACCACGTTGAAATGACGACTTAAAGCAGATTATTCATTAAACAGGTTGGTGTTCGTGGAAACTATGGACCGTTCTCGTTTAACAACAAAAAGAAGAAAAACTAGATTAGGTTCACATGAATGAGCAGAAAGAGCTTGGATAAACCGAACACTTACTTACTTATGGAAACACTTAAAACAAGCCGGGTTCTCTTTAAACCAAGGTTAGGGTTCAACTCGTATATTATGACAGATGCAGAGAAACCACAGCTGGGATTTAAAGGGTGTGAAAGAAAGTGAAGGATAGGCAGGAACAGAGCTTAGCTTTCAGACTGAGAAACACATACACTCTGAGGAAATAAACACAGGCCATTCACATGGGAGGTTTAAATTGAAAACATGAGCCTAATCTTTATTGAGCCTTTTAAGAAGCAGTGACTTTAATGAGCAAACACGTCTGACAACTGATCTTCTATGTTACTGCAACCCTAGCAATTTAATAATACTTTAAACCTTCATTCATATGAAATTAGCTTTTACGAGACCAGGTCCACTTTAACAGTATGTTTATATTAGTTTAAAAACACTCCTTTTCTCTTCTATTCCATGTCTGTGGAATCAGCTTCATTTTTTACTTTTCATTTTTCATTTTCTTTAATCTATCACTCTAACTTTAAATAATTTAAGGAATTACAAAAGATATCTTATTTTATAAAAAATGTCTTTCAGATGTGAACACCTGCTAGAAATGCTCAAACAAACTGTCATTCAATAGATATACTTTATTTGATTTTATAAAAAAAATAATAAAAACATAACTCTGCTCTTTTTTTCAGTTCAGCATAAAATACGCAGTTGAGGAGAACCCACGTTTGCTGTCATGTTATGATTTGCCTACTGCAAGTAACTGAAATACAAAAACTTTCATCTTGTTTTATGGATCATCAGATTTCAATGAAAACACTGGATGGCAAACGAAAATGTCAATAATCTCAAATTAGAGCACGTGGGCACAGGCGGAGTAATAGCAACATTTAGTTGCTGTTACTGTTTTAATTTTTTGACGACTCTTTGAGGAAGTTCAGGTATAATTATGAGTATAACAACAAGAGACGGCGCATAAACATTTGCTATTTTTTGTTTAAGAAGCATATTTAGGGTTCCAGATAATAATAGTGATATTTAATTGACTATTTCTACTTCTAGAAAAAGGATAAAGACAAGAACAAACAGAGGTACACTATTAACATTGATTTTATCTCACATAGATTTCCACACAGTCTATAAGTAAACTAGTACAAACATTGTCTGGTAAATAATGCTTGAATCAGGCTTTTTATTTCAGATATCATTACATTAAAAATAAGACAGTGTTATATTATCTTTTATCATCGTTAAAAATGATTTTATATTTGAATAAACTTAGGCTCATTGTTAGTGTAGTGCTTTATAGATGATGCCACTAAAAAAGAAAATAGACATAAGGAGCTATATTAAAAGTCAGTCAGTGATATAAAAGGTTGTGTTTCATTTAATCCTTTTATATTAATAACACACTTATACGTCATATTATTATAGGAAACACAGACATTCAGTTATAATGATGCAGGGCAGCTTGTAGGTGAAGCAGCTGCCCTTCAGTGCTTCAGGTGATGATTTTAATTACAAAATAAGGAGCAACTTTTTTTATCCATATACAATAAAAATATCAATTAGTTTTTAATATGGCTGGATTTAGGGAACTCAAACAATAAGGAGTGATGTTGCAGCACAGGTAGAGAAAGAAGTGTCCGAACCTTCAGGGCTTCAGGTAAGGGGGTTTTTTGGGGTTTTTTTTTCAGTATGAGTAATTGGGTTCTGTGATCTCTTTTGGAGCTCACAAATGTTGCCACATGGATTTTAATTTAGTTTGCCTGATTAAAATGTTTGTTTGGTTGGCTATTACAATTTTGGTATAATTACAGATCTAGGTGGGTTGTTCTGTCGGGGAAAGGCCCATTTTACATTTATATTATGTTTTAGAGCCTCTATACTCCAGTTAATGATGAATCACTTACTGAATTAGTTGACGATTATTGAAATAATCAATTAATACGTTTCATTTTTTCAGCCCCAGATAAAATAAATGAAATGGGCTACAAAGAGAAACTATAGCCCAGATGTTTTATTTTACAGTAAAGTTAATATTTTAATGAATGTATTTTGCTTGATACAGACAGAGAGTAGTACATGAAAATATAAGAGTGGGGTTTTCCTCTGCACAATTGTATATTTTCAAAAGAAAATACTGTATTTACCTTCTTCAAATGAAACCATTTTCAAATGAAACCATTTCCACATTCATCAGAGCCGGTGATACTTCATACATTGATAAACAGCATCTAAAGGGTGTAGTGCTTATAAAACCTTTATTAATGTAGCAAAATGATGCTTTTCTCTTTAAACAATGAATTCCTCTTATCAGTACGGATGCTCACGTCAACCATAAAAAAGGGCCTGCATACTGCATAGCACCAATGAAACCAGACCAATTGTGTCC